GAGGAGGAGGAGGAGGAGGAGGAGGAGGAGGAGGAGGAGGCGGGATGAGGCTGGACGACGGGGGTGGGAGTGGCAGCAGAAGGGCTGGGCAGGGGCGACGGGGGCGGGGCAGGCCAAGGGCTGCGGGCAGGAGGCCTCGAAGGCATGGTGGGGGGGCGGCAGGCAGGGGGAGGAGGGCGGCGTGCCTGCCGTGCAGCGGCCGCAGAGGCGCACGGGGGCTGGCCGCCACAACGCGGGCGCCCCGTGTGACAGACACCTGGAGTCGCGGGCGAGGCCGCCTCGGGCCACGCCGCTCGGGCTCCCCGGAAGGGCATTAAGCAGAAGCTACAAAGAGAGCAGCGGGGCACCTCCGCGCCGCAGAGGGCGGCGCGGCGGCACGCGGCAGAGGCGAGGCTGCCGCGCGAGAGGGCGGCCCCGCGCAGCAGGGGTCCTCACTCGGCGAGGTGGGCGCTCGGCTCGTGCTGCTCCTGCAGCGGCTCGTCGAGCCGCCGCAGCGGCACCGACGCGCCGCACTGCGCGGCGGCGAAACCGCGCGCGCCCCGCCCGAGGGCGAGCACGGCCGCGGCCGCGCCCAGGCAGCCGAGCGCCAGCGCTGCTAGCAGCGAGGGCGCGGGCGCCGTCGCGCCCAGGCCGCCCAGGCCGCGGTGCGTGAAGAGCTGCCGCGGGTGCGGCAACCCGGCCTCCTCGTCGGCGAGCACGCGGGACTCGGACACGGGGCACTGGAAGGGCACCTCTCGGCCACACGCAAGAGTGACCCCCTGGGCAAGAGTGACCTTTGGTGCGCGGCCTCTGGGGTTGCGCGAGGCGGCCAAACCCAAGCGCACGGGCAGCCACTATCGCACCGCGTTCGGCGATCGGGGGGGCACAGTGGGCCCGCACCCAGAGGTCACTCCTGCGAAGGGTCACTTTTACGTGTGTCGAACCTCCACGCTGGAGGAGCTGGGCTTGGGCAGGAGGGTGCCGAGGGCGAAGGAGGCGGCGGCCGGGCTGTTGATCGGGACCATGTGGCCCGCACCACTGACCTGGACCCACGTGAGGCCGCCGCCGGCCTTCACCTTGCCCGCCGACCCGCCGCCGATCACCAGGTCCCGGAAGGGGCTGTCGGCCCAGTCCTTTGCCGGTGCGCAGAGGGGGGGTAGGGTTAGGTCGGGCCTGTCCCCCTACAGGGGGATTTTGGGCGAAAAATCAAAAATACCCCAAACATGCCCAAAGGATGCCAAAAAATACGAAAAAATAGTCCCTAGACTATTTTTTGACTATTTTTGAATATTCCCCCTGTAGAGGGACAGGCCCGACTTAAGGATAGGGGAGGGGCGTCGCTGATCCTCAGGAGGCGCGAGCCTTACATCTGCAGGCAAGGCCCGCCCCTTCTATGAAACGCAGGGGTGCCTCTTAGAAGCGCTCCCCCCTCCCCCTAAACCCCCCTTTCTGCGCGCCGCCAAGTCCTGTGCAAACGGCCAGTCCAGCCCCGCTGCCACGGCGTAGCCGCCGACGTAGTCGCAAGCGGTGTCCTGCATGCCGTAGTACAGCGTCACCTTCACGCCCTTCGAGAGGGCGCGGCCCAGTTCCCCGGAGTAGTCGAACATGTCAGCCTTGTCGAACTCTGGGAGGCTGATGCAACCGGCAGCGCAATTGCCAAATGCCTTGTTGCCGGCGTCGCCGCACACGTTGAGGGCACGGGCCACGTCTTCCCGCAGCAGCCAGTCCGCCCACGGCTTGTAGTCGTATGACGAGCAGCCACAGCACTCCTTCTCTCTGAGGCGGTAGTCGTAATAGTTGGGCTGATACCCCAAGTGCCTCTTGACCATTTCGCGGGGGGAGGTGTAGTTGTCCGCGGCATAGTCCGCCGGGATGAGGCCCTGGCGCTTGGCGAACTCGACGAAGCTATACCTCTGCACCTTGTCGTTGATGATGCCGTTGCCAATGAGGATGCCCGTGATCGTGAGCTTATCGGCCGCGCCTCCCTCGTTGTAGTCCATGATGGCCGAGCTCCACGCGGGGATGTAGTGCCCGCCGTAGGACTCCGTCGCCAGCACGAGGCCGCGGTGGGCGTGCTCCGGGAAGAGCTGGCGCCAACCCCTCAAGAACGTCACCATGTCCTCCGGGACAACGTGCGAATGCCTAGACCGCCCCTCCCTGGCTCTCTCGAGGCTTGGATGCTGTAGTTAAGTCGGGCGTGTCCCCCCACAGGGAGATTCTTTGCGAAAAATGAAAAACACACTTCAAACATACCCCCCGAAATGCTCAAAAGTGGTCAAAACATCGTCCCCAGACTATTTTTTGACCATCTTTGAATATTCCCTCTGTAGAGGGACACGCCCGACTGGATGCTGTAGCGAAGCCCCGAGGGCGCTTTGCTCCGTCTTGGAGGTCGGCGATTTTAGTGTTGGACTTGGGCAACGTTTTTGCCACGTCTTCGACTCCGGCATCTGCCCGTGGCCCACCTGCCTGTTGAATTTCATGCGGATTGTGCGTTTCGATACGCTCTCAGATGCCACAGTGCCGCCTGCCTGACGCTCACTTTCTGGGGTGCCCCCTTTGGCACGTTCTGTTAAGCCAGGAACGAGAAATGGACATCGGACAAACACAAGCCAGCGTTTTGAAGAACAGCCGAGTCCTGGGGTACGTTCCGACCAACATTTCGAGGATATTCCAGCCGTGGTGGCGAGAGCTTGCCAGGAGGAGCAGCGGTATGGGTATCTTTCCCGCCTCTGAGTCCTTCCCCGCGTCCACTGAAGAGGTCACGAAGGGGCCTGTGCCGCATGAGTAACCCACGTAGCGCGGCTGGTCGACGTACAGAACATGGGCCCGCCTGTTCCACGAATACGGGTTCCTGGACAGCCTGCCGGCGAAGGCACCAGAGCCCTCCTGAAGGCTGCGCGCAAGAGCGGCCCTACGAAATCACGAACGAGCTTCGGTGCGCGGCTTGCCAGTCGTTGCACGCGATGCGACCCCACATCTTCGACGACATGAATTGCTCAATCCGGGCGCTTTTCCTCGACTCCGGCCTCCTCTTTCTCCTTCCTCCTCCTCCTCCTCCTCCTCCTCCTCCTCCTCCTCCTCCTCCTCCTCCTCCTCCTCCTCCTCCTCCTCCTCCTCCTCCTCCCCCGTAGCCATTTTGGCTCAAGGGTGGGGTTAAACCCATCCTTAACTTCCCAACCTCCGCTCGAGCAGCAACAGGTGCATGCGCCCCGCGCGCCCCCGCGGTCCCCCTGGCCTCACAGTTTTGGTGGTGAAGCTTCTTCATCTCGTGTGTCAGCCATGGCAGACCAGCGCGCCTTCCATCAGTGCAGTAACCCGCAGTGCTCAGGATGGATCTGGGCAAATCGGCGGGCACAATTTTGTGGGGACTGTGGGTCCCCTTTCGGCAGGGCAGTTCGTTTTGCAGATCCGCAACCCCGCCCTGCCCCCAAAGCCAAACCGGAGGCCAAGCCCCACGCCCGTGGCTCCCCAGGCCAAGGACGTTGGGGCAGGCGCTCTGGCAGCCGCCCTCCCCCCCCTGCTGGAGTTGGGGGAGGGAGTGGGGGGCGCCTGCATTCAGCCCCCCCAGCAGCGGCAGCGGCAGCAGACGGAGGAGGAGGAGGAGGAGGCCCAGCAGCCTCGGCTGCTGCCAGCAGCAGCCCTGATGCTGTCACCTTCGCCCAGGACCACCTCTCTTTCCTCCGTCGTTCAGGACTCGACCAGGAGCATCCCCTCGTCAAGGCAGCTACTCAGGAGCTTCAGCAAGCCAAACGGGCGGCTTTGGCATCGAGGAGCCTGGGGGAGCAAACTAAGAGCTTGGTTGATCAGTTGGATGCCCAACGGAAAAAGAGAGCCAACTTGGATGCCAGTAATAAGAAATTGTTGGAACAAGTTGCCCAGTTGCTCGAGCAACATTCCAAAGGCGAACAAGAGTTCACCAAGTGCGAACAGGAGATCACGGCTCTCCAGGCTCAGCTTACTGTCACGAGGAATGCAGCAGCAGCAGAGCTTTCAGTTCAGCAAGGAGTGGTTTCCTTTGTCCAGTCTCACCTCCCCACTCTCCCTGGGTATCAGCCTACACAGGTCCTTCAGGATGCTATGGGGGTCATGGTACGAGAGCTGGAGCAGGCCAGGCAGTTGCAGCAGAACGCAGCAACAGCCGCAGCAGCCCCAGCAGCACGGCCAGGAGGAGGAGCAGGCGGAGGAGGAGCCCCAGGAGGAGGAGCGGCAGAGACGGCAGCAGGGGCGGACGGAGCACAGCGGAGAGCGCCTCCCTCCGCGGCCGCCGCGCCCGCCGCCCCCGCGGCGCCCCGCGCCGACGTGCCTCCGCCCGCTGAGCCTCCACCCGCAGGGGCAAACGCGGCAGGGAGGGCGGAGGGGCAGGGAGCGCCAGAGGAAGGCCGAGGAGCAGCAGGAGGACAGCAGCCGCAGCAGCAGCAGCAGCCACAGCCTCCCCTTCAACCTCAGCAGCCTCCGCCCCAGCAGTCAGCAGCAGCGGCAGCCCCAGCAGTGGCAGCAGGTAACAGCGGTAACAGTGACGAGCTTAATGACCCTATTCCAGACTCCCCAGCCGAGATGGTTGAGCTCATGGATCTGGCCGATGCCACTAAGAAGCGGAGCCTGGCAGCTCACCTTGAAAAGCTGGTCCAAAGCATGGAGGGCAAGTCCGATGCTGACGAGGCCATCCTCAAGAGACTCCGAGTGCATCGTGATGCACTTCAGTCGGCCGGCCCGTCAGGTGGGTAATACTAGCCTCAAGGTGGTAACCATAAACGGCAGCTGCTGGAGGGCAGTAAAAGATTTCGTCACCTCTCCTTTTGCAGGACCCGTCGGTATTGTACTAGCGCAAGAAGTACGCCTCTGGCAACCAGAGGCAATAACATCGGCTACTACATGGGCCAGCTCTCAGGGCTGGCATGCTATCGTCACGCCAGCTCGCTTGACGGACCAAGAGCGCCCCTCGGGGGGCACAGCGATCTTGATTCGAGCAGGTCTTGACTTAGGCGTTCGTTCTATCACACTACCTCATCTTGAAAGTCCCCACCGCCTGACAGCAGTTGCTGTGGAGGCACCTGGATTAGGACAGTTGGCAGTTGTCTCGATCTATCTATATGACTCGGAGGGGATGTCTCAGAGAAATGCCCAGTTGCTAGCAGCAGCGGGAGAGATCCAGCAGCAGTGCAAGATGCCGATGGTGATGGGAGGGGATTTTAACCTTACTCCGACCACCTTGTTGCAGACAGACTTTGTGGTGAGAGCGACAGTTCGGATTCATAGTACTGTTAAGCCCACACATGTTGCCAAGAAGAGCAGGTCGATCTTGGATTATTTTCTTGTGTCAGAAGCCTTGGATGACAGAGTGGTAGAGACCAGCATCCTCGAATACCCCCTGACCCCGCACAGAGTAGTGCAGTTGGAACTGGAAAGTGGGCAGTATTTTATTCCAGTATTGCAGCAGCCTCAGCAGCTCCCCCGCAGCTTCCCCTTCGGCCCTCTCCAGCAGCAGCTTCCCTGGACGGCAGCGACGGCAGCGATGAGGAAGGCGGAGGAGATGTTTTTCACAGAGGAAGGCGAGGTGGTCAAGCACAGCATGGCAACCAAGCAAGCAGCCCTGGATGCAGCGTATCAGGCCCTGGTCCAGGACATGGAGCAGGCAATTGCTAGGAGCACGGATACGCAACTTCGTCAACCGTCTCTCCGCGGCAAACCTCCCACGGTGAAATGGGTCCCCGCCACGGCCTTCCAGAAGAAGCACCAGAAGTCTTGGGTTTGGGGTTCCCTGGCGAAACCTCTGATCTGGCTCAGGGGCAAAGCGCAGGAAACTAGAGCCTTCTTCGCGGGCAAGTGTCCAGAAAGTGTGACCAGCATTTCCAGATATGACGTCAACTGGGCCTTAGAAGAGGTTCAGTCCCCGCCCCAGCAGTTCAGCAACTCTGGGTCACTCCAGCAGGCCCTGGATACGTTTAGGAACCTCCTGCTGGCCATCGGTCTGGACAGCCAGGCCGGGTGCCTCAACGCCGAGTTGGTCGATCGCATGTTCGTTGATTTCTTAGATGAGCTGGAGAGCGGCATCAGTCAGGAGGAGAGGCAGAGCGCCAGCGACAGCAACAAGCAGTGGAGGGACTGGGTAGCCGAGGCCATGCAAGGAGGAGCGGGCAAAGCACACGCCTACTCTCGCAGTTCCCCCCCCTGGCAGCCGCAGGCAGTTAGACATGGAGGCAGGTGGTCAGGGAGGCCCAGTCACCTGCTGCAGGCTGAGGCAGGTAGGTTGCAGGAGCTGTGGCAGTCCTTATCCCACGAAGGCCCACTGTTTCAGGGAGCCCCAGATGAAGAGCCGCCGTCACCCCTACAGCCTCAGCAGATCCTGGCAGCTGCCAAAACCTTCCCCAAGACCACAGGGATGACTTGGGACGGTTTTCACCCAGTGCACTTCAAAATGATTGGCCAAGTTGGTCTGGAGATAATGGCCACCCTGTTTAAACTCGTGGAGGCCCTGGGGACCTTTCCCACTCCGCTGCGCGCCGTTCTGACGGTGATCATTCCGAAGCACAAGAAGACAGGCAGCCAGCCCCAGTACAGAGGTATAGGCATGCTCCCCAGCCTTTACAAGTTATGGGCACGCGCTAGGCAGCACGTGGCCAAGTCTTGGGAACAGAACCACAAGAGAAGGTTTTTGTGCCACCAATCGGGCAGGTCCATTTGTGAACTAGTCTATATGCAGGCCTTAAGTGCAGAAAGAGGACAGTACGTCAACCCCGTCATGCACACAGGCACGATCATGTGGGATTTAAGCAACTTTTACGAGCATGTGGACAGAGAGGACCTGTACCAGAAAGCGCTCCACAACAAGTTCAGCTCCCACATTTTACCGGTCATACTCAATCAGCATAAGTCTAGAAGGTTAGTGTCGTTCTCATCTATGGTCACCGACGTGGGTTACACCACCAGGGGCATCCCAGCAGGCGACAGCTTCGCCACTTATCTCGTTCAAATCTATTGTATAAACGAACTAGACGAGTGGCAGTCGCAGCACAGTATGGTGCAGCTGAGCGTCTTCATCGATGACTTCCTCCAGCAAGCACAGAGCAGTTCTATGCTGACGGTGCTGACAAACCTGACAGATGCAGCCCATGACATGAGACAGGTGATCGAGTTAGACCTACAGTGCTCTGTGGCCGATCACAAATCAGTAGTCCTTGCGTCTTCTGAGAAGTTGCAGTTGCAGATAGTCAAGGCCCTTGGAACCAAAGGTGGACAGGCACTAGACTCGGCAGCCAACTTAGGCATCGACTACAGCGCTGGGCGCAGCAGAATGTACAAGAAGTGCAGGCCTACAGCAATAGGACGGCACGCAAAGCTGCGCAAGCGCCTCTTCAAACTTAACAGCCTTCGAGAAGGAGGGGCTAACATCAGCAAACTTTACTCAGGTGGGTTGCAGCAGGCAGGATACTACGGGACGGAGGTTGTAGGAGCGGATGACGGCGAAGTGAGGGCTATTCAAACCACGTTTTTAAAAGCATGCGGCCCAAGATGCACCACCAGGTCTCGCTCCCTCTGCCTCCTTCTCCTCAACGACCCCACCTGGAAGGTAGCATGTGGCCCATGCCTGACGTGGGCGAAAATTGTTTGGAGGGCGGCAACAACCAATGCAGGAGGCTGGACATTGCCTCAGCTGCGCGATTTGGTGGAGCCCATTTTAAAAGCACCCCCTAAGAGATGGACGGAGTCCCGGGGCCCTTTCGGAGCTTGTCTGTTGTCTCTTGGAAGGATTGGGTGGAAAGCGGTCAGCCCTTTTAAGTACCAAGATAAAGACGGCAGGACCTATATCCTCACCTCCGTGTCGCCCGCGCTCCTCTCCGCAGCGTTACAGAGAGCCTGGAGGGACAGGCTGGTGGAGCAAGCGAGCCAGCGACTGGGATGGGTGGAGGATCAGGTCTGCGTCTCTGCTGCCCTTTCTATCCTTCACTCCCCCTCTCGCCCTCCGCGTGAGCGCTCCATCCTCCTCGCCTTCCTTTCCCAAAGCATATGGACCAAGTATGGTCTCAGTGAGGCAGGATATGAAGTAGATACGAAATGCCCATGCGGGCATCAGCATGATAGTATGTTCCATCGGTTGTTTGAATGTGTGCTTTCAGCTGCGGACCGCAGCGAAGACTTAAGATTTGAAGATATAGATGCTCTCAAGACTGCCGATTGGGCTCACTTGCAGGCCGGCCTAGGAGTTAAGGATACTTTCGACAACCAGGCTCCGCCAGGGCTTGGTCTGGAGGAAGCGACGCTGTGGGCGGTTGACCCTCATACCACCCCAGCCCAAGCCCTGCAAGGTGAGCTGTACCTTGACGGCTCATGTTTTAAAGACGGTCCCCAAAGTCACCATCGAGCTGGATGGGCCGTTGTAGCTCTCGACCCCATCTCGGGCGAAGCCCAAGCGGCCCTAGCGGGGCCAGTGGGACGCGAGCTTCCGCAAACGTCGCCTGCCGCCGAATATCTTGCGGCGCTCGCGGCTGTTAGATATGGCAGTAACATCACGTCTCTTGTTGCTGACTACTTGGGCACGTGCAAGCTGCACGACCCAACATTGTCCCATAGGAATTTCTACGCAGGGATTAAGCTGTTAATTAAAGGTAGTCCAGGCTGGCATCGAGACCTCAGCCTAATTAAGGTCAAGGCGCACCAAGACTTAGACAGTCTGGAACGCCACACCGAAGAATGGAGGAAGGCCGCAGGCAATGCCGAGGCGGACAAATGGGCGAAGTGGGCTGCCAACGAGCTGGCCAAACCCTCACCCGCCGAAGCGCAGATAAGTGGATACAGGTTTAAACTTTTGCAGCGGTTCCTCAGATATGCTTGCAAGGTCTTGCCAAAGTGGCCTCCTGTGGCCTCTTCGGCTGGTGGCAGAGCTCTGGCCAAACCAAGCAAGTCAAATTCCCCTCCTGTGGGGGCCGCCGCCGCCCCAGGCTCCAAGCCCGTGCTTCCTCCCCCCCGTCCTCCCGCGGCGTCTCGGGGTGCTGGGGGCCTCCTTGTGCACGATTGGGTCTGGAGTCTGGGAGGCTGGGTGTGCAAGCTTTGTAAAACCCGAGCCTTGACGGACCATAGTAAAGAATCGAGGCTCCGTGAGAAGTGCACGGGCAGTTCTCCTTTGAAGACTCTCGCTGCAGACAGCCACGGCCACAAGCTGATGGTTGCAGATTTTACAACAGGAGAGAACTTTATCATTGCTTGTCAGAGGTGCGGGGCTTATGCAGTGTCGAACCCACGTAACTTGACATCTCCGTGCCCTGCGCATTTTGCTGAGAGTCAGAACCGTGGAGCCAGATATGCATGGCAGCAGATCTGCAACGGCAGACACCCCAAGAAGTCGGGGGTACAGCTGAATGGTGTTATCCCTCTTGACCAGCTCACGCTCTCTTTAGCTGAGGAGCAGGAGCGGGAGGCGGAAGAGGGGCAGGAGCAGGAGGGATGAGCTCTCCTGCCGCCCGCCCGCCGCGGCCGCCAACAGCAGGCGCGCCGCTCCCGCGCGCGCCCCCCCTTGCATAGGGTAGTGGGGCAGCGTAGCAGAGACACAGACACTGCTAAGGTTTTGGGTTGGGTCGGTTCGGCCAACCCTTAGCCTTCCTCCCTTCTTACTGCGTGCTACTCCTCCTCCTCCTCCTCCAAGATGCAGAGGCCGAGCCGACCTCCGTCTTGTGCCTTGATCCGGCCGTAGGGGTCTGCGTGCTCGGGTAGGCCCCCCCCCCCCCCCCCGCCGCCCCCCGGAGCCCACGCTGCGAAATTGGGCCGCTCCCCCCCCCTTGGAGCCGACGCTGCGAGCAACAGGCAGCATCGTGTCGGCACGAACGAAACGGGTACGGAAAGAATGGGTACGATGCCCAACAGCAGTTCCTGTGCATTTTGAACAGGACTCGCTCTCCGCGCCGCCGCGGCCTGTGTCCATTTGAGACAGAAGGCCGCATGCCCAACAGCGGCCTCTGTTGGTTTAGGACAACATTTATTGTTGGGCATTGTGCCCATTTTTCCGTACCCATTTCGGGCGTCCAAATCGTGGGAAAATCACGACAGGAATTCGGCGGCACGCACGAGGGGGGCACGTGAGGTTCGTGTCGTGCCGACTTCGGCGTTGGTTTCTGACACACTGGGGATCGTTCAACCTTGAACGATCGGCCGTTTCCGAAACGTCCAAATCGTTCTACATTGAACGATTCTGGGTCGCCCGCGGCGTTCAAAGTTGAACGCCGCTGGCGGGGTCGCCGCCGGCCGACACGACACGAACCTACCGCAGGGGAGAGGGGGGAAGGCTTCTCAGAAGGAGGCTGCTTGTAAGCAGGCGCAGGGCCGCTCTTTCCTGAGAGCCGGCGCTGCGAGCAACCTGCAGCATCGTGGACAATCCACGACCAGGGCTTGGCTGCGCGCACAGAGGGGTAGAGGGAGGCTAGCGCGGCACGCTACATTGGAAACGAGGGCGCTGACGCGCGATCTTACGCGGGCAGCTTGCGCGCCGGTGTCAGCGCAGTCCGCCCCATCTTATTCTGGCGCTCGCTTGGCGGCGCGCCAGCGGGGAAGGCTTCTTAGAGGGAGGCTGCTTCTCAGAAGGCGGCCCTACATCTGTAGACAAGGCCCGCGCCTTCGAAGGAGCAGGGGTGCTTCTCAGAAGCCTTCCCCCCTCCCCCTGCCCCCCTCTGCGCGTGGCTGAAGAGCCCCTAGAACCCCCTCTTTATGCGGCATTCCCCGAGCCCGATCGATCTGTGATGGCCTCAGGGCCCGGAACAGGTCGGAAACGCCTGGCGTGAAACAGTTGTACGCCTGCGTCTCAGGGTTACTTAAAGGGCCCAGGGATACAAACAAATGAGCACACATCCCAAGATTTCCGATATTTCAAAATATTTTCTGGAATTTCGTCTTCCCCCCGCTTCCCCTATTTTGGCATATGTTCCTAGGGATCGTCAGTTATTTGTGTCTGTGTGTGTTCTTTCCCCTCCTGTGTTTCTATCGGCCTCCTAGAGAGGGTAGGAGTTGATGGGGTCGGAGGATCGCGCCGCATCGGCGATGCATGGTCGATGCGTCGGCGATGCGCTGGCGGTGAATCGTCGGCGGCGGCGGTGCATCGGCGACGTCGACGTGAAGCAAATGGGGCTGCACATCGAGCCGCATCGGCGATGCATCGGCGATGCGGCGCGATCCTCCGACCCCATCCGCTCGAACCCCATCTAGGAGGCCCAGGCCTCTGGGGTGCGGCGCCCCCCCCTCTCTCTCTCTCCCAGGTCTGAGCCCGGGCTCGCCACGCGCTGCCTCTGGCCCGCGAGGCTCGGGGGGGAGGGCTCCTGGACGTTTTCGGGATGCCACTGGCCGGCTACTCGCAAGGATGACGAAGATTTTTTTCTTCGTTTCAACGCCTGAAGTGACCTTGCTGCCAGTGAGGCGTCCTGGCAACAGTGGCTACGTATCGTCGCAGATGGGAGGCAAAGGTCCAGCAGCACCGATACTGAACAATCGGCAGTGGAGGACGCCTCAGACAACGCCTGTCGCATCCGACAGGGCAAGAAAAGGTGACCTCGCCTCGGCGAGCGCCGCGTTGGGGAGGGGGCTTCGCAAGTTGCTTTCGCAGCGCCCGCTATGGCTCCCTCCCCTCACGGTTCGGCCCTCGGCTCAGACACCCCAACACTGCATCCGTCCGCTATACACGACGAGCGCCGCTGTTGGCAAGGAGGAGGAGGAGGAGGAAGAGGAGGATAATGATGATGATGATGATGATGATGATGATGATGATGATGATGATGATGATGATGAGGAGGAGGAGGAGGAGGAGGAGGAGGAGGACCAGTGAAAACCCAAAAATCATCAACGGTGTTGGAGTAAACCCTCCCTCCAAGCTCCGTCTTCGTAGACCCTTACAACGGTTCACTTCCATTGATGGAACTGCCTCGTTGGGAGAGACCGGCTTGAAGACCGTGGAGCATGCCAAAACATTGTTCTCGGGATTCCAACGCCACGGATCAATCTGACTGTTGCGTCATGACGATCCTGTATCACGCCAGAACGCCATTCCTAGGACTTCAACACAGAGAACCACAGTAACTGTTGCACCTGCATAATCCTGAATCCTTCCAAAACACCGGTACGTTGATGCTGGGAATCCGTGGGACTCTTGAACATGTTGTAAACGAATGTGCGCGGCGCCATGGCGAGAGCCACATTCTGAAAACGAGCCGCATTCAATCTGTGAAAATACTGCAAATGTTTAAATCGAATGTGCGCCGCGCTAGGGCGAAAGTCACAATTTGAAAACCACCCGCCCTCAATCCCTGAAACTCTTGCGAAATTTTAAAACGAATGTGCGCCGCGCAAAAGGCGAGAGCCACAATTTGAAAACCACCCGCACTTCATCCGACTCGCGCAAATGTTTCAAAACGAGTGTGCGCAACGCTTCGGCGAGATCCACATTTTGAAAAGGAACCGCACTCAATCCGTGAAGCTCTTGCAAACAATTTTACAACGAACGTGCGCCGCGTTAAGGCGAAAACCGAATTTTGAAAACGACCCGCCCTCCATCTGTGAAACGGGTGCCACTTGTTCAGCTTCAGAATCATAAATGGTGAGGAAGTCTCAGGCGAAATGCCCGGCCCGCCCGGGGTGCGACAGAGAACAATTACTTATAAGGAGAAGGAATGCAACAGTTTTTCCCCTCCTGAATCTCAGGAGTGCGCGAAGCCGGTCCTTTGCGCCCAGCAGCAGCAGCGGCCCGTGCTCGGTCGTCATCCCCTCCATGGCGGAGCAGCCCGGCCCGCCGTTGCTCCAGACGATGAGCGGCGCATCGTCGCCGGCGCCGTCCTCGTCGTCGTCGTCGTCGTCGTCGTCGTCGTCGTCGTCGTCGTTATCGTTGTCGTCGTCGTCGTCGTCGTCGCCGGCGCCGTCCTCGGCCTCGGCGAACCAGTAGAACAGGTAGTCTCTGTCTGTGACGTTGACGTACCCGCTGTACATGGCGGGCTGCACGGTGTTGCCCGCAAGGAGCTCCTGCGGGAAGTTCACAGGGGCACGCTTCACCTGTATGGGAGGGCGGGGAAGCACCCACACACGCACACCCGCATAGGACGAGAATGATCAATTGACACAATTTGTTGTCGATGTGTTCTGGGGATTCCGGGACTTCTGACACTTTGCGCCGAATCTTGTCTACTCTGCCTGGCGCCGCTGGTCGGTCACCCATTCGCAGTCGAGTAATCGCCCGTAGGGGGGCTACTTGGCACTTGCAGGCACACACGCGTACACATTTTTTTTCTTTTTTTTACAGCCGCAGGCGGAAGCGCCAGCGGCGGGCGGTCGCGGGCGGGCTACGGCCGCGACTAAATTGCCGAGCGCGCGCGGGGGCCGCGGATCAGGCGGCGGGGGGGGGGCAGCGCCCAGGGCGGCAGAGCCAGCGTGCAATCCAGGGAGTCTGCAGAACAGCCCCGACACGCGTACACACACGCAGGCACATGCACAGGCACAGACACAAGCACAGGCACAGGCACGGGCACAGGCACGGGCATGGGCACGGGCACGGGCACGGGCACAGGCACGGGCACACTCACGCGCAGACGTCCGCGAGGCTGTTCTTCTCCGCCCGCGGGCCCCGAAGGAAAAACTTCCCAGCGGGGGGGGGGGGGGGGCAACCTCTCGTCCTGGAGCCGTTCTTGTGGCGAGGGCCAGGGCCCCTCCCCTCCCCCATTGAACCCCCAGGGACAGGGTTTGCAGGTGGTCGCAGATCTGCAGAAGGGGGGCGGGCGGCGAGGGCCGATCGGCCCCCAGGGTGGGTGGGTGGGGTGGGGGGGTGGGGGGGCAAAATCTACCTGGACGGATGTCGAATGATCTGGGATAGACCTGGTCCAGCAGGGCCCAGTGTCGGGCCCCCCGAGCGTGATCTGGGATACACCTGGAACCTCTGGACAGTATCTGCATTCATTGAGAACAGAAGAACACCTAACCCCAGTAACACGATGAAGACGTGGCCTCACTTGGGTCCCCGTCTTTGCATTTGGGATAATAGTTCTGGGTGGTTTGGTCTGATACATCTGCAGAATTAAAAGGCCCCCTTATCCCTGATGCTTTGGGCCCTCCTACCTTAGGTACCTTCCCAAAGGGTTGGGGGTACTTTTATTGATAATCATATATGGGACAGAATGTGATCCCAGAGAGATGTGGCTGAGAACAATCTTGGGAAGCCCTGGCGCGAAAATGGGAGGCCCGAATCAAGAACTATCCCTGACCCCCGCTGCCCTGACAACTCGGGGCTCTGAGTCAATCCGCCCGCAGTCAAGTTACGGCGATGGCATCGGATCAGGAGCCCTTAGAGAAAGAACCTAGGGTCTGAAAGCGGGCGGGACATCAATTGAGGTTTGGCCATGGATACGGTCAGGAGCTTCTGGATTGCGTATCGCGGCGGCAGCCCCAGCGACACGCTATGCCCTGCGAGCGGATAGCGTGTCGCTCCGCTTCGCGGGGTGGGAAACTGGGAAAAGCTCGGCACGTGAACGCCTGGGGAGCGCGAAGTGGATAGCGTGTCCAGCAACGGCGGAACGACGCGCTATCCCGCAGTCACCGACCGCATCACCCTCGCCCTCATCAGATGAGGACTTCTTCAGGGTCTGCAGCCTCCTTGGCACCTTCCTTGCTGAACGCTCCCACTGGAAGGCAAGAGCCTTGAACGCCCGCGGGCGGCGCATCTGCGCTGGCGCTGCCCCTCCCCAAGAGCTCCTCTCCAGCGCGCGGGTGCGGGGGCAGAGCGTGAGGGGCAACGCTTGGTGGGGGGACCAGCGCAGCAGGGGGGGACAGCGGCCTGGAACCCGCAGTGCATCGACGATAGATCGGCGATAGGCCCCCGACGGCGAAACCGCTCGTCCCTGGGCGGGGTGGTCCATCGGGCCCCTCTCGGCGATCAATAGCCCTGAGCCGGTCCCCCCTTGACGTCGCCCCTGAAAGGGGCCTGGCAGCAAACGGAGATCTCTGCTGTCCGTGGGCCCCCGAGGCTTCTGCTCGTCGTGTGTCGCCGCGATGTTTGTCCTCGACGCGCCCAAGTGGACGACGCCGACGCCGCGGCAAACCCACGGCAAACCCTGCGCCCCGCGATCCAGTAGACGACGCCGGCGCCGCGACAGACCCACGGCGAACCCACCGCGCCCGCAGCGGCGCCTGCCCGGGCTCCCGCGGCGCCCTCCCCAAGACGTGAGCGCGTCGGCACAGACAGCGCGGCGACATGTGGCGCTCTGGCCCCCCATCACCGGGTTGAGGCATGGCAGGCCCCACGGGTGCACGCCGGCCTTGAAGAGGTCGAATTTCACGGCCTTCTTCAGCCACGAGAGGCGTGCCGACGTGCGCAGCAGGGCCCCGGCGAGGAGCACAAAGATTGCCCGGCCGCCCATGTCCTGGGCTCGCTCCTCGGGGTCAAATCTCAAGCCGTAATGGCTGCGGGCTCCTCCTGTCGAGCGTCAGCCAAACATGACGCGGCGCTTGTCCCTGCGATCAGGGCGTCGCAACCTTCTCCGCACTGCGCGCTTTCGCCCAACTTCGGGCCGGAGCCCCTCACGACCTGGCTTGAGCACCGCCGCAGGAATATGGGGTCAGGGGCTCAGGGTGGAATGAGCTACGAAGGTGTTGTATCGCGACGTTGGAACTCAGTGGATGTGGAACTATGCAGCAACGCATATGTACCTATACGACCACCCTCCGGGTAATTCGCCGGCCCAACGGGCCAGAGGCGTGCTAAGATCTCCGGTAACTGGTTAACACTATTCCTAGTTCGCGCGCGCGTGGCGGCCCCTGGGGGGTCCCAAGCGACAAGTACCCCGGGCAACCCCGGACCGGTCAATTTTTCGACACCCCTCACGAGGATCGTGGCCTTCGAGGGGGGAGCCGCAATCGACTACCCCCCCTCCCGCCTCAAGAGGCCCACAAGAGCCCCCCAAGAGGCCCTGGGGGCCCCAAGAAGCCGCCAAGGAGCCCCAAGAGACTCCCGAGAGGTCTCCAAGAGGCCCTAAGGCTCCAGGGCTGGCGGAATGAGCGAAGCGATTAATCAGGAGGTTGTGGGTGGGGGAAGAACCAACTGACTATAACCGTGATGATTGTGATGGTGACGATGCTGGTGATGCGCTCGCGAGCTGGTGACGATGCATGATGGCGATACTGGTTACGATGCATGACGGACACCCATCGGACACCATCGGGACACCATTGGGCACCATCGGAGCACCACTGGGACACCAGCGGGGCACCATCGGGACACCATCGAAACACGATCGGGACACCATCGGGGCACCATCGGGACACGATCGGGACACCATTGGGACGCAATGTGGGCACCCATCGGGACAACCATGTGGACACCATTGGGCACTATCGGGCAACATGTGGACACCATCGGGACACCATGTGGACACCATCCGGGCACCAGCGGGACATCATCAAAACACCATCGGAAGGAGCACCTGAAGACACTGCGGAGCGCATGAACGGTGCAATCGGGACACCAGGTGGGCACCATGTGGACACAATGCGGACACCATCGGGACACCATGTGGGCACCGATCGGGATACCATCGGGACACCATGTGGACACCATCGGGCAACATGTGGACACCATCAGGACACCACGTGGACATCATTCGGACACCATCGGGGCACCAGCGGGGCATCATCGAAACACCATCGGGAGGAGCACTTGAAGACACTGCGAAGCAGATCAAGAGTACCCTTGGGGCACAATGTGGACACCATGTGGACACCATCAGGACACCATCGGGACACAATCGAGACACTATCGGAGCACCGTTGGGACACCAGCGGACCACCATCGAGACACCATTGGGGCACCATGTGGACACAATCGGGGCACCATGTGGACACCTATCGGGACACCATGTGGACACCATTGGACATCATCGGGCAACACGTGGACACCATCGGGACACCATGTGGGCACCATCAGGACACAATTTGGGCACCAGCGGGACATCAACAAAACACCATCGGGAGGAACACCTGAAGACACTGTGGAGCACATGAACGGTGCCATCGGGACACCAGGTGGTCACCACGTGGACACCATGTGCACACCATCTGGACACCATTTGGACACCACGTGGACACCATCGGAACACTATCGGGACACCATCGGGGCACCATCGGGACAACATCGGGACACCATCGGGGCACCATCGGGGCACCATCGGGACACCATCGGGCCACCATCGGGCCACCATCGGGCCACCATCGGGGCACCATGTGGTCCCCATCGGGAAACCGTCGGAAACCATCGGAAACCATCGGAACGCCATCGGGACACCATCGAGATACCATGTGGACACCAAGTGGACACCATCTGGACTACACTGGGACACCATGTGGACAACACTGGGACCCCATGTGGACACCAAACGGGACACCTCTCGGGACACCATTCGGGACACCATGTGGATACCATGAGGACACCATATGGACACCAAGAGGATACCATCGGGAAACCATCGGGACACCATCGAGACACCATGTGGACACCATGTGGACACCATCGCCATACATACCAATCGGGACACCACCAGGACACTACCGGGACACAACGGTGCACGATCGGGACACTCTGTGGACACCAGCGGGACACCACCAAAACATCATCGGGACACCATCGGAAAACCGCGGGTCACCACGGGACACCATGTGGACACCACGGCGGGGACCCCCCCAGCACCCGCCCGCCAAGCGGGCGGGGGGCGGACTTCTGTCCCAGCGGCGCCCCAGCGATCACGGGTTCATTCCTTCCGCCCGCCCACGCAACGTCGCCTCGCCCGCACGCGCGACAGGAGCACGAATCAGAAACCGATTTCCTGGTGGGGGGGCCCTCCGTTCCACTTCGATCTCACCCCCCAACCTCCGATGTACGTATGTGTGTACATGTGTACACATTTATATACTCGAACAAGCACAAAGACGCGTTGTGGGCAGAATTGCTGCAAATTCCATGGGCAAGTAGAAACTGGAAGGCAGGTGTCCAGAGCGCCACCCACAACTGAGGGCCATCTGGAGGTTTCAGTAACACACGTAGGCCTGTAAGCTGAAGTGTTCCAGGATTATGGTGGGACCTGTACCCGCCAATATCTAGTAACCAGAGATTCCTACACGAGCACCCTTCGGGTGATAAGGAAGTTTTTTTGGGGGATAACCAATTGCTGGCAAATGCGGTGGGTGTGATGATGACCATGCTGGTGACGCGCCCTCGAGTTAGCGACGACGCGTGATGACGATGTTGCTTTGCGATGTAATGTCAGTATCGTTCTCACTATCGATCTCGCATCCGATCTCACTATCGATCTCACGATCGATTTCTCTATCGATCTCACTATCGATCTCACAGCCAATCTCACAATCAACCTCACTGTCGATTTCACTTTTGATCTCACCATCCATTCCATTCCAGCGATCTCATTATCGAACTCATTATCGATTTCACTATCGATACCAAGGCGGGACACCCCCGGCCACCGCCCGCCCACCGCCGACGGAACACCGAACGGGACAACACAGGACACCACGGCGGGACACCCGGGGCCACCGCGCGCCCACAGGGGGCGGAGGAGCGGTCCACTGCATCCGAATCGCCTTGGCGACGGCGGGGTCATTCCCCTCGCGCGCCCACGCAACTTCGCCTCGCCCGCAAACGCCACACGAACACGAAACCGAAACGGAATTCCTTGTGGGGGGCTCTTCGTTCCACTGCGATCTCACAGCGCAACCTCCGATCCCGAGGGGTGCTGAATAGAATCAACATGCTTTTTGAGGTGAAGACAACAGCTGGGCAGGTGAATATCTTGCTGCTGTGAGTGAGGGCGAGATCAGTAAAGGGGGAGCACGTCAAGGGAGAAACTCTAGCATCAGAGGGCAGGGCAGGGTTGGAGAAACGGAGGCTTGTGGTACGGTTTGGTTGCGCAACACACGTTGGTGAAGCGGGTGGGCAACTCGTCGTGCTGGGCGACGGCCCACAACACTGCGTTGCCCCTCTGTGGAAATATGCCGCGAGGCACCCGTGCTGTAGAGCTGGTTCCAGGCTGTGAGCCTGAACACTGTTACGCACTGGAATGCAAGCTGGGCTTGAATTGCACGGACGGTGTTGCGCAAGCAGAATTCTGTCGGTCAGCTGTAGGTCGGGCAGAGTGCAGTAGCGGTGCAGAGCGGTCGGGGCACCAGTGCCCCGGCTGACCTTTGCGGAAGACTCTCTCAGGGGGACGTAAGACCTGGGTACAGGGGACTCGGAAATCCCCGACGAGGTCGTCAAAAAAAATGACGAGGCCGAGCCTGCATTTTGACGAGGCCTCCCGCTGCAGACATCCCACGAAACTCCTCCTCGTCAAAATCCGAAGCGCGGTCGTCAAAAAACGATGGCGAACCCGAGTCCTGGCAAACCCGGGTCTTACGCTCCTTCGAATAAAGTAAGCAACGAGGGCGTAAAAAACGTGCGCTGCGCTGTGCCCGGTGCTGTGCGGGCCAGGCCTCGCCACTCGGAGGCGTGCCCGTGCGGAGAACGGCCCCGGGCACTGCAAGCTGGCCCGTGCGCGTGGCCGCTGCTCCGCTGTGCCCTTGGCGCGCGTGCCAGCTGCCCCGGGGCGACGTTGGTCGGCGATGGACAGACCCCCCTTTCGCAAAACGTGGTTTAGTGAAAACGACCTGAGGCCCAAACCTGGCGGGCGCAAGCCTGGAAAATAGCGGCCACGGCGCCGTCTCGAGAACCGAAAACGGACTGTTCACTAATCGACGTGTTACTGTTGGGGGTTCTGTCCACCCCCGAGTTGGGTGGGGGTACCGTCTCGGGGGGGGGACATCGGCCTGGAATCGGCGATACATCGCCGACAGATCGGCGGTAGGTTCCTGGCATCGGGGGCGGCCCAGAAGGGGGGCGTCCAAGAGGGGGGGGGGTGCAACTCGTGGCTGGCGGCATGTGCGCGGCCCAGGGAGGGGGGGCCCGGGACGTAATGAAATAAGAAGAGGCGCCATGACATCGGGGGAAATATCATGGCCCACGCCATGAGATCCACCCCCCCAGTCATCACCCCCCTCTTTGCCGCCCCCGATGGTTGCAAAGCTGCTCGCTCCTGGGATGGGATGGGCTGCCGGGCCGCTGCCGTCGAGGCGTTGGCGATCCGGGGTGGATGTGAACCTCCGTTCGCGTTGCCCCAGACCCTCCCCCCTCTCGTCCGACGGTGCCTCCCGTGCCTACTCTTCTTCATTTGCTGCTTTGTTACCCGGCATATCCCAGGGCTTCGGCCCCCTAGTAAGCGGGGCCTTCTCAGAGCGCTCCGGAACGCTCAGAGAGCGCTCCGGAACGCTCTGGAACGGATTCATCCTCGTCCTAGCCCCGTCCGACCTCTTCCCGTGGGCCATCTTTCCATGCGAGGTCAGGCTTGATTGAAGTGAAGAGGACGCGCGAGAAGCGGGCAAGACTCTTCCGACGGCCACGCTGCCCTAGGACTGCAGGGGCCGTGGGGTTCGGGGCACAGGACACAAGGACACCCTTGATCTGGAGGAGGAGGAGGGTGAGGAGGGGG